CATAAAAATGAGTACTTCAGACCAAAATTAATGAAAGACTGAATGAATAAAAAATTAACTAGCACATGATATCTGCAGACTTTCAGTCCAGGCTCCACCAAAAGCAGTCAATCAATCCATCAATAGGACATGGTGTCTGGAGTTTAGTCACCAGCCCTGCCTCTACAACCCATCGCTGAGCTTGTTCGTCACACAGTCCCCACCCCATTACCTTTCCAACCCCATCCCCAGCCTTTGGCTCTGGTCAGATGTCTCTTCCCCGGAAATATCCTATAAAGGTCAACCCTGACCCACAGCCAGTGCCTGGGCCAACTGGACCCAGCACTGGCTCATGCCCACCACAAAATCTCCTGGTCTTCCAGAAACCAGGGGTGGTCAAAGCCCCACCAGTCACCCCAGCCCAGTGCTGGGTGCCCTTGCCCTATCCTGCCTCATCATAGATCAGCCCAGGAGTGACCCCTCCTGCCAGCGTGGAATTCCAGAAAGATGAACGGGCCTGCAAACAGGTTCTCCTTTCTGGGGCTTTCACTGAGGATAGCCAGAAAGGCCATGCTCGGGCCTGCCTGTGCCGGAGGAGCTGGGCAGGCAGGACACGCTCCTGCAGGCGCAGCGGGTGGAGCAGACACTCTGCCCTGCAGCCTCCAAATTGAATCTGACTCAGCGCATCCATGATCAAAAGCTCCTTCTGACAGCCATTCTGCATCGGCCCAGACCGCCAATCTAAAGCATCATGTGCACTATCGGCCAGCCGGCATCCCTCTTCCACCCTTTCCCAGCCCTGGGTAGTGCTAGGGAGAACAGAAAAGCACCCTGCCCACTGGGGGCTTCTTATCTCTATGAGATACACCAGATGGTGTGTGGAGACACAATGTGTGGTATACAAAGATACCTCATGTGATGTAAAGATATGATGTGTGGTATAAAACACAATGTATGTTATTACATACACTGTGTAGCTTTACAAAGTGACCACCTGCTGCTCATGCAGGGAGGAGGTGGGGGGGTGAGGAGGAGCCCCAGGTTAGGGGAGGGAACCCAGGCAGCCTGGGAGCAGGGTCAGGCACAGGTGCCCCAGGCTGTCTCAGGAGGACCCAGACCTGCGCTGAGATCCTGGCTCTTTCCCAAATTGAAGGATGGCAGGAAGGGGCTCTGGGGCCCCATGGTGCCTGGCAGAAGACTGGTCCCAGACCTAAACCATCAGGGATGACAGGCCTAGGGTCCAGAGAAGCCATGTGACCTGGCCAGGCAGGCAGTTTCCACAGGCCAGAGCCCACGGTATCTCCCCCATCTGCTCTCATTATCTTTCTGGGCCACTGTTGTCAAAATGTATCAAATTGAGTAATGTTATTATAAGCACGTCAAACCACACGTATGTTTTAATTTTCCCAATTTTCATCCCTCCCTACCAACTGCATCAAATTTCAAGGAGCTTTTACGTGTCAGGTCCTGTGATGCCCACTTTCAACCAGGCTGGTGCCTGAGGCGTTGAACAGCTGCTGCTTAGCCAGCTGTGTCCTAGTAGGAGGGGCTGCCGTCTGGGGCAGCATCTGGTTCTCACAGAAGAGAGTGTGACATCTGCAGGTGGGCCTTGGGGGAGGGGTCACTGCAGACAGAACCTGGCCCTGGGGCTGCTCATCAGTCAGGGCTGCAGCAAGGCGAGCTTGCTCAAGCCATACTCTCATGTGATCCCTGAGCCCCCATTCCAGAGGCCACCCTTCAGCTGACTGGCCCATCCCATCAGCCCTCATGCCATGAGGGATGAGGGAGAGGCTTGCTGCATGCTGAATCAGAAGACTGGGCTTTGCCCCACTTCTGTCACTGCCTCACAGAGAAAGTATCAGGATGGACTAGGGTCTCTGACACATGCTCCAACTCCAGGCCCTGCAGGGGCTCAGTGTGCCCTGACCTCGGCAGCATGCAGGGCCTGACAGAGCCACCTTTGAGGCTGTGTGGGCAGCACCGTCCTGAGAAGCAACTGGGCCACCCCAATCCTGGACAGACAGCTGAGTAGTGGGGCATCACGGGGACTCCTCCCCCTGGGCTGCACATGGGCTGCAGCCCTGGAGCTGTTCTGGGGCAGTGCCACTGCCCACACCAGAGGGGGGCTGACATCCCACACAGGGCCCCTCCAGCTCTCCCAGGGGCCCAGAGAACTAAGCCTTTCAACAGTTTGGATGAAGAATCAGGTACTTTAGTGGACAAAGAGCACGCATGTGTGTGTGCATACCTGTGTGTACATTTATGCATGTGCATTTATGTATGTGCACGTGTATGCACATGTGTGCATGCACACATGTGTATTTTTTAAGGTGAATCCAGGGCGGGTGGGGCAGGGCTCTCCCGGAGCCCCATGTGCACTCTATTTGGAGTCAGTTTCTGGATGCAGTCGGTTTTGCTCCTTCTAGGTTTCCTTGCCCAGGGCTTTCCCCCCTCTCCTTCTTTTAAAGGAAAACAGGAGTACCCTGAAAAACAAGTTTTGCTGAAATTCAAAACTATCATAGAGGTCCCACTCCTGAACCCTGAAGACTCCCCAGCCGGTGAGCTCTGGTGACAGCTTTACCTAGAAGCAGGCCAGCCTGGGATAAGACCTTTTTCCCAGGTCCACGATGACAGACACACCAGCAACACGGGGCAGTAGGGTCTTGGCTGTGTCTTACAAGCCCAATCTGGAAGCTCCCCCAAGAAGTGGGCGGGTGCAGGGAGCTGACAGAGCCTGATGCCGAGGACACATGTGGGAGAGGCCTGAGACAAGATGCCTCAGAGACAAGGCTGGACACTTTCCTGTGCCTCAGCCTGGACTCTGACTCACAAACACCTCCCAGGGTCAAAGACTATTTTACAACCAGTGAGTCCACACACTTCCACCAGCAACCGGGATGCAGGCAGCACTGAACCTCCAGTCATCAACACTGTTCAGCCTCCCCCCTTCTGCCAGGCTTCCGGTCAGGGGGGAAATGCATGAAATGCCACTCAAGGACATCAGAATCACAAAGACCAATCCTTGCACAAAACAGCAAGAATTTTGTGTGTCTGTGTGTCAAGCGCAGGATAGAGACTTGGGAAAATGCATCATTTCTGGTCAGAAAAAAAAAGTACAAATCAGCAAACTGGGCCTAGAATGATTTTTAAGGGTTTCTCAAACAAATTGAGCCCCTGCTAAATCAGGATTTCACACAGGTTAGTTCTTCTTTGGTACCACCTACAGGGGGCAATTATCATCCCAATTCAAGGGGACTTGGTCTCAGCAGGGTATGAAACCTGTGTCTTGGGGGGGGGGGGCAGCACACAGACCCCAGTGAGCCTACTTCCTGCATTAACCTCCAGGTTCAGAAAGAGCTGCATCCCGCTAGCCAGGGTGGAAGAGGCCTTCCGGCCGGCCTGCCTTCCTTCCTTCCTTCCTTCCTTGCTTCCTTCCTTCCTTCCTTTCTTCCTTCCTTCCTTCCTCCCTCCCTCCCTCCCTTCCTTCCGAGGAAACACTATTCTTCCAACCTCCAGTGTCTTCACTTTTCTCCCTGTTACTGATTATAAATGAGGGCTTAGGCTTCCAAATTCCTGCTCCAGCAAGGAGTTTGGTCCTGTGGGTGTCCATGTTCCTTGGTAAGCTGAGGGAACAGCCCCTGAAGCCCTGACTAGCCACCCCAAGTGGCCCCGAGCCTTCCCTAAGAACTCAGGGCCCTGATCATGTAAGGACAAACTTCCCCCAAGTGCCCCCTGGAGTGAATGCGTTATCAGCTATCCACAAGCAGGTGCTTTTGGAAGATGTTTACGAGGTGCTATTAAAAAGGTCTGCAATGCTATTTAACCTAAGCCGGTTGGAAACAATGAAACAAATTATTACTTCTCTCTCCCGCAGAATGACTTCCCTCCAATCAGGGCCCTCCTCCCTCAACAGCTGTGACGAGCGTGTGTGGTGCTTCGTGGTGACCTGCTACTTGTCTCCTGCTTCCACTGGAACCAGGAGGAGCCGGCTGACAAATGTCTCCGCACAGCATCCTAGTTTTACCGGTGACCAAACTGGGGTCCAGCATCCCCCCCACCTGCGACACCGCCTCCTCCCGGGCCATTGTTGGGCCTGTCGGGAAGAGGGCCCGGCAGCCGCGTGGTCAGGAACGGGGTCCCAGGAGCTGGTGGCTGAGGGAGTTTGAACGCGGCTGAACGGCGCCCTCGGCACAGTTGGCGGCGCACGCGGGAAAAGCGGCGGGTGCAGCCAAACGACGGACTTCTGCGCATTGTTCGCCGAAGGCTCAGCAGCATCAAAGGGGACCGCGCGCAACCCGACACCGCAGCGACCGCAGGGACAGAGGCCTGGCGGCCCCGGCGGCGCACAAAGGCTGGCCCTGGGGAACCAGAACAGTTTTGCCTCAACAGGTTGGAAACTAAGTGGTTTCGCTCCGAACTGCACTGTCTTCCCCGGAGACCGGCCAGCCCCCGCGGACGGTCACTCCCGGGGCCCAGGGGCGAAACCCACTGAGGCCGCTCAGGAGCTAAGAGGGACGAGGCCAGTGACCGCGACACGGGAGGGCGGGCAGTGGATGCCCGGGCGTCTCCAGAGCCACCGCGCGTGTAACAACTGCCACCACGACCACAGCCCTGGCCCCTCGGTGGCCCTCGGTGGCCCTCGTCCAGCAGAGCGGACCCCCGAGCGCACCAGCCTCCCCGCGGAGTCGCCGAAGTTTGATCACGACTCGAGGGACTCGCGGCGCTATGGGCCCACACCGCTCCAGCCCACTCCCTGGATCCTGCGGTGCGCGGGGGTGGCGCGAACCCCTTTAGCCGAAGAATGAATGACCAGCGCGGGACACTCGGAACACCGACCCCACCCTGTTCCTCCACCTGCCTCCCGCGGTCCACCAGTGCGCGTGGGCAGAGCCGGGGCCGCCTCCTGGGACCGAAGCCGAGATGGGTTGGAGGTGCGGAGGTCGGCACCGCCGGAGACCCGCACAAAGCGCCGGGGCGCGGGCGGCCTGGAGCGCGTACTTTCGAGTCCCCGCTGTTCTTACCTGGCTCGGCCGAGGCCGCGCGAACCCCGAAGAGCAGGACCAAAAGTACGAGCATGTCCAGGAGGCGCCGCGGTAGCGGCCGCAGCGAGGGCCACCTGCAGACGACATACCACAGGTCAGCTCCCCGTGCGCGTCCCCTGCCCGCTCGCCCGCCCAGGCGACCCCGCCGCCCCTGCGCGCCCCTCGGCCCCAGAGGTC